CCACACAACAGAAGTGGGAGCCTTTACGTCTGCTCACCAATGGATAAACACCTGAGGAGTTAGTGACCTTCTTGCCAGACACCAGTGCTTATTGGCCAAAAGAGCCAAAAGTCTCAGGGAGGCTGCTGCTCCCCCCAAACACTGAGCCCACGGGAGTGCACTGATTGAGTCTACAGCAAATGCTTTACTTTAACCACAAACCAATGCAAAGGAAGAAAGTTGATTCTAGGTGCCTCCCTTAAATACCAATTAGTGTGTATTGAAGCTTTTGGGGCAGCTTTTGGGCTTTTGTTTTCCTTAGTACAGATAATTCTCTGAGAATGTGATCCAGTAGATCCATGTGAAAGTATCAACTATATAAGAGTTTCTTACATCAAGTCACAGTAAATTTTTCAACTTTTGGAATTAATGTTTTTGCCTTCATTCACCCAGAAGTAAGACTGCAGCAAGCTTTAAGATTAAGTCCTAGCTTTGGTAGGAATGAAACAAAAGTTTTAGTGAACTCATGAATATTTGGAATGATGTGTCTTTTGGGAAGATTCAATATGTCATTTTTATAGTTGGTGTTGTGTATCCTAAGAAACATCCTGGAAGATAAGTTTAGATAAAAATTGCAAGGAAAAATTATCTCAGAATGAAATTCTAATACTTGTTATTTTCTACCAACCACAAGCTCATTAGGTGAAATTTCATTTGTCAGTCAAGCATAATTTTTACAATTCAGCTCTAAAATTGTTTTTTAAAAACCCACTGGAATATAGCATGCTGAAGAGAAATAATTGATTAAAATGTTATAATATGCCTTATAAGATCTCTTGGCTGTGCTGTGTGAGTTGTTAATGCCTTTTTAAAAAGACAAAAACATCATCAGTTCAGAAGGACATCTCTGGTCATTAAGGAGAATGTTCCTCCTAACATATAAAATAGTGAAAAATGACTACCATGTGTTCATGAAATAAGAATGTATTAGAATTCTGCATTAAAGCTGGTCATAGAAATATATTCCACTCATGCTTTGTGGTATGCCCTTTGTGAAATGACAGCTAATGCTTCTATAATGAGTTGCAAATAAACTAGCAATTATGTTCGTTTAGTTACTCCCAAAGTTGAAAATTTACTGCGACAGATAATAAAATACCAACAGTTAATGCTATACTATAGCCCTCAGAAAAGAATTTATACAGCTGTATATACAAACATCATAATTATCCAAAACCACTTTTATGAAAATGTCCAGTAAAAAAAGTTCTACATCAAGGTGTTTATCATCTTGCAATATATTTTTATTTATTTCTCATGGCTCCTTTTTATGTAATACTCTTTGAACTTTTAGAGAAAACATTTCCTTTAAATTTTTTGTAGAATCGTATTTATGGAAAAAATAATTTTTAAATGCCATTAAACAAATTGAAAAGAAAAATTTTCACACACTGCATTGGGCATCCTTTTCTAAATGATGGAGAGTACTTATAAAACTAACTTAACTCCATAGAAATTCTACTTAAAAACTGGAAGAAATCAAAAGCTTATTCCGAAAATTATAAATGTTTCTCTGTAGTAAGAATAACGTCAAGAAGGACATTGAATGCTTTTGAGGTACCAGGCACGATGTCAAATGTTTTACATAACATTTTGGCATCTTCATTTTGAAGTTGCAAAAAATTACATGTAAAAATCACAAGTAAATTCCCCTGGTATCCAGTTAGATAAGTTGTAAAACTGGGGTTTGATACACAAATTCTGACTTAGGCCTATGCTCTTAACTACTGCACTGCAGTATCTAAAACTGAGAATTTTGATATGCTGATTGTAAGTGCAAATGGGAAAACAATTGAGGTCACAAAATCTCCTAATATCCAGCATGATCTGAAAATTTAACTTTTTTCCAAATGATGATGGAAATGCAAAGCTGTCCTTAGCAAGACAGGGATATTTGACATTTGCCCTATTCATAGATGGATCAGGACAGGGTTAGAGATCAGATTTCCTCTTTGTTCCTAATTCTATCTTGCCTCAAAGCTTCTATTATATTTCTTCGGATTCTGCATGTAGCCCTCTCAGTGTCCCTTCTGTTTCCTTCTATTTTTGATGATTCTGACATGCATAACTCAAGCTGCACCCTCCCCTCTCCTGAGTTCCACTCCCTGACTCCCAGCTGCTTCCTGTGAACCTCCATTGCATGTACGACAGGCACCATATCCTAAACAAGTCCAAACAAAATTTAGCATTGCTCTTCGAACCTGCTTTTCTCCTCTAGAATTCTATCCTTTTTGATCAATGCCAACTCCACCCACCAGATCTTCCAAATTTAAAACATCAGGGTCATTTTTTCTTTACCCAATTATTTAAATTCTATAAACAATTGATTACAACATCTTACACATTCTGCTTCCAAGGAGTTTCTTGTATTTACCATATCTTCATCTCCATCCTAGTTCAAGCCCTATCATCACTGCTCAGAACTATTACAATAAAATCCTAGATAGTTTCTAATCTCTTGCTAATTAATCCTCTAAATAGTGGGCTCGGTAATTTTTCTAAAGAACAGAACTATTCATGTCATTCTGTTCCATAAACACTTCCATAACTTCTCATTAACCATAAGATCTAAATTCCTAAGCAAAGGTTACAAGACATGTCACAACTTGGTTCCAACTCATCTTCTCCTTGTAACTCCATCTCTCTACTGTACTATTTATGTCATATAAATAACTATACTTTGGACCCCAAACCAGATACTTCCACAACTTAAAGCCTTTGCTCATGATATTTCCTTGTCTTGAATGCTCTCCTTTACCTCTGCCTGAAAATTTTCTTATTCTCTTAAATGACACCACGTCTTTGAAGCCTCTCATATCTTCTACACAGCAGGAAATGCAATCTTCTCTGTTCTTCCATAGCTCTTTGTATATGCTCTCCTATAGCTTTAATTATATTGTGTCATAATTATCATCTTCCAATGTCTGTTTCTATTCCTCTACTATGACTTTCTAAAAACCAATAGCTACATCTTAATTACCTTTGTACTCATAATAAATACATGTCAAATGAATAGTATTTACTAAGCGTACCACTAGGTGGTAAACTTTCAAAATGTCAGATTTTTTTTAGAAAAATAAAATCAGTTCAAACTAAATATATTTTTGAAGAAGGAATATTTTCTTTCTCCCTTAATTTTACTTTAATTTCTACAAAGTGAATAAATAGTTGCATTTGACTGTTGTCCGTGCCTTAAGTATACTAAATATATATAAATAAACAGGTTTTTAAAATATTTCTGCTAACCAAACACTACTAAAATTAAAATAAGTGAGAGTAAAAATGTTCCTCTTTATATTTGGCTCTCTGGTTAAGTTAGTTTGCACTGAGTGTTGTTGGAGATTGGAAACATATTATTAAACTTATGAAGGCTATTTTTGGACATATATCTTCGGATTTTTCAAAATGCCGATAAGATAGAAGCAAGAGCATTGAAATCCATGTGTCCACGTCTAGTTAAAAAATCTCTGTAAAAATATTTAACAAAAACATCAAAATTTTTTTGTCATCACAATATTGGCATTAGCAGCAACAATAGCAGACAAAAGATAGGATCAGTTCTAATGACAACTGGACTAGAATTTTAAGCAGGTAGTGAAAACTTTCATTATAGACTATCACCATGGTGGTCTAAAGCCTGTAAGGTACACAGATACATTTGGACAAGCAACTCCAGAGTGGCCTGATGGAAATGTCTTTGAATCTAGAAATTGCAATAGTTCTCAACAATTTACCCCACATAACCATTAAGGCTTCAAAACTGCTTAGTATTCTTTTAATTATGCCTCTGTGCCTGAAAGTCAAAGTTGAGGGAATGCTCTCTTTTGAACTTCTTAGGTGCTCTGGAAAATGCCATGACTATGGTCTTTGACTTGGTTAAACCTTCCTCAGAAGATCATTTTTAGAATGTCTGCTTTCATCCATAACTCAGGTTTAATAGAATTGTTTTTAATGAGTAGGAAAGACTTAAGCTAGACCTTCATTGAGTCCTTTAAAATGATAATTTATTTATCCTCTCATATCAGTTTGTGACAGGGAGAGAATAAGGATTAAAATGTCCAATAAAAGTATAGAGTATAGGGTATATTTCTTGATTCTACTCTCTTCAGCCCAAAACAGATGCATTAATTCTAGCAACAACAGCAACAAAAAACACACCATGTTTTAATATATCAATTAATTTGCTTATTTAAAGGACATTAATTAAACATAGCCTAGGCACCAAGCATTCTACTAGACACATAAGATACTAAAAAGAAATTTTTAAGAAATGAATAAAATGTGGTCCCTGCCCTTAAAAAGGTCGGGAAAACAAACAGTTGAGACAATTACATTGTAATGTAAAACTCTGATAGAGGTAACAAGGATGGTATGGGAGCACTGTTAAAATGACACCCAACCCAGGCATGGGGCAATGGGACAGGCAGGTCAAAGAAAGCCTCACATATCAGATGATTTCCAAACTAAGTCCAGAAAGATGAACAGAGGTTAGTCAGGCAAAGCAGGTGGCAAGAACCAGTCCAGGCAAAAAGACATATCTGGCAAATGGGGCCATTCTTGGAAGTGAGCTTGGGTCCTTGTGGCTGGACAACAGGGAAAAGGACCAAGTGAGTGAGAATAGCCAGGAGGGGCAAATAGGAGAGAGGAGCTAAGTTACAACATTCTCCTATACCACTGCCTTGGTTTGTTTTGTGCTGCTGTAATAGAATACCTGAGAATGCACCAGCAAATTGGTTTCACTGATCAACATCCAAGTAGACATATAGGAATAACATTTATCGGGCATCCGGCAGATGGGTATATACATACATAATGAGTGCTATGTGCACCATCTGAGAGATGGACACGCTTGGAGCTCTGACTCTGGGGGGGGGGAGGAGGGGGAGGCAACACACATAACCTAAACATTTGTGCCCCCATGATACACTGAAATAAAAAAAAAAAAAGAATACCCAAGAATGGGTGGTTTATAATGAATAGAAATTTATTGGCTCACAGTTCTGCAGGGTGGGAAGTCCAACATCGAAGTGCTGGCATCGGGCGAGGACTTTCTTGTTGCACCACAATGTAGTGGAAGGTATCACATGGCTGAAGAGTGGAAGGTGGGGCAAATCCAACCCTCGATAACAAACCCACTCCTGAGATGATGGCATAGTCTACTCATAAGGGTGGAGCTTTCATGACCTAAATACCTCTTAAAGATCCCACTTCCCAATATTGTGACAATGGAAATTAAATTTCAACATGAGTTTTGGTGAGGGCAAACATTTAAACCACTCTAAAGTGTTCTGGCATTGTCCTGAAAGAGAGGGACCCAAGAATTTTTAGGTGGTGCAAGTGGTGTAAAGTCACTCGCCTGGTGGCTTTTGTTCAGGTCTTGTGAGGCGTGGGCCATACTTTTTTTAAGTAAGTGTTTGCATGCACATATTACTTATGGATCTATTTTACTACTTCCTTAAGTAGCTAAGATGACATGGAAAACATCTTTGTGGTATTTTCTTCTTATAGAAGACCAACATGATAAAGTGAGAAAGGGGCAAGGGATTTGAGAGCGTATCTAAAGGAGTAATTATATGATTGATCATGAAATCTGAGACAAGAGAGAAGAAAAGAAAGCAATGAGGGATAGTGAAAATGTCATAGGGTCAGTGGATTGTGGTGGGATCAAAGGATGTCGAAATGAGGATACCAAAGACAGTGGGGTTGACAGAGAGGAGGTGATAGTCTCAGAGAGAAAGGCTTGGAATTGAGATTATATAGACAGTTACATTGTAGTTCTTATGTTAGTGCTTTAATTGAAGGAAAAGTCCCTCCCTTCCCCTGATGTGTAAAGAAAGTTCAACTAATGGCCCTTTTCTCTGCCTTATCTCACTCCACTCCTGTGCTGGTTGATTGACTTACATAAATTGTAAGTTTGGGAGAGCAACCCACACTTGGCTCAGCTCTACCCTTTCTTCTTCATTTTGAGAGTACCTCCTCCTGGAGAACACAAGTTCTCTTCTGTCCTCCATGCTGTAAGGTATGCAGAACCCTAGCCCAGTGTTTGGGGGCAGGGAGGACTGAGAAGAGGTGAAGTCAGCTTCAATTCAGCACTGCTGGGGAAGGGTGGGTGCATCCGCCTGATTCCTGGGTTTAGAATTGGACATTCACATGGCTTACCAAACTGCAATGCCCTGTTATGGCTGGGGGAGGGAATTACTGCTGAGAATCTGAAACTCAAAGCTGACTCTATTCTAGAATATATGGTCCTAGGAAGTGGTAGAATCACCAGCTAAAATTTTTCAGTTGAGGAGAACAAGCGTAAGAGCCAAGTCTATAAACCCAGGAGCCATATAGGAAAGAACCTTCTCTGAAGGGATAAACAAGACTGTTCTGAAGCTGAAAGAAAGTAAGATGTAGAACTAAAACAATCATAAACCCATCATTTAGGATCTAGTACATCCTCATGGAATAGTGGAAAAACATGGTTTTAGAGTAGAACAAAGATTCTAGTTCCAACTTTGCCACTTGTTTGTAAACTTCTTAAAACCTCCTCTATAAAATAGGGAACTAACACCAAACTTGCCAAGCTATGATGAAGGACTTATTTCTAAAATAAATGTTTTTGTAAATGTCTTGCAGCACCTTGTGCTTATAAGGTAATCACTAAACTGTGGATAATAATGGAAGCTGGAAGCTATCTCCTTATATGGGAGTCGTGATAGGGAGCGATTGAAAATGGTTGTGCCTTGATCTAAACCCATGCCAAAAAAAGAGAAACGCAAGAAACTTGCCTTAATCATATATAGTTTGTTTCCTACAGTTGTTCATGATACAGGGAAGTTTAGTTTGGTCCTAGAACTAAATGTGGACAATGTGGAGAAAGTGAAGCCTCCTGAAAGAGGGGAAAACTTGTGTTTGTGGACCTGGACAGGTAAGCCTCAAGAAGGTAACCTGGGAGTTCTCAGGTTAGAGCAGATCTGAGAGTATATCCACCTTTAGTTTAAAATCTAAATATGACAAAATGTGAACTCTGTTTAAAGATTTAATTTTTGTTTTTCAATCCTTATTAACAGATAAGCCTAATTTCATCTTCACTAACAAAAAAAATTATGAGCCTATAAAGATCTTTTCAAGTGCACTCAGCTAAATCAAAGTATCTTTAAGCAAGTCCATTTCAATTTTTGATAATTTCCATCTCCTAATATTTATCTGTTAAATAATTTAAATAACATAGCAGGACAAAATCTTTATCAATATGGTAACCATGTGTAAAATTAATATCATCATAAAAGCAATAAGCATTTTGACATATTTATCCAATGACTATTTATTGCATGCCTAATAAGTACACTGTTCTTAGCACAGGAAATACAGGGCATAGCCTCTCTTTTGGTTTCTCTTTGATGTTGGAGGGGAAGATCCAATTCCAAACCAATTTGTTCAAGACTCAAAGATAGATTAGAGAATTACAGCAAGTTATGGAGGCCCATCGGAAGCAGTCTGGAGACTTTCAAGGAAAATCTCAGGGTCTGATAATAGTCCAACTCTTCAGGTTCTTTGGTAAGTTACCTACTAACTCTGTGCCTCGATGTCTTGGCCTGAAAGATGAATAGACTGGGCATGAGAGGTAGGAAATTTGTATGAAGAATAATTTTAAACTAGATTGCAAAAGTACCAACTTTGAAAAAATAAACCAGTAGAAGTGTTTGCCTTATGCCTTAAAGATTTATATTACCTAGAGAGTTGCTTTAATTCATTTGCTATTCTATCTGCCTTTTAATGACTAAAAGGCTTTTTTTCTCTTTTGATATTTTTCTTGCCAAAGCATTGTTTTTGCTTCTTTGTTTTCTACTCCACTGCTATTATTTGGTGGTAGGTGTTTCTTTTTTACCAAACAAAAGAGGAAAATTCACTAAATACATTTAGTTTCTCCCTAGGTATCTCTAAAGTTTACCTAAGTAAACTTTTTTTTATTTTTTATTTTTTTTGTAGAGACAGGGTCTCACTATGTTGCTCAGGCTGGTCTTGAACTCCTGAACTCTAGTGATCCTCCTGCCTTGGCCTCCAAAAGTGCTAGGATTATAGACATGATCCACTGCACCCAGCCTTATTACCTAAGTAAAAGTTATCTCCATGTTTATTTTAATTAATTCCTCTTCAAGGATTTCCTCTGGAACATGACCACAGCTTTCCCAAGGATATTATTGACTGTCAGGCAAAAAACACACCCTTTCGAGTCTGTTCAGGCTACATACATATGTAACCATTTTATTCCAAGGACCTTTGCTGTATTTGCAGCCACTAAGCAAACACAAATTATGGAGATTCAGATTTACCTAAAAATAAATTGAGAATTTTTCTTTACAAAATGATTTGCTATAGGATTTCTCCTGCCAATTCTGCTGCATGTCACCAAACACATTTTAAAAAATTATCATATGCTACATAAAACTCCCTCTGGGAGGTCATATGGAGAATGACTGGCTGCTCTAAAGGAATTTACAATTAGGATGGGAGAAAGCAACATAAACAACTAACTGTAACTCAATCTTTAAATCAATTTAAAACAGGAGTGCAAGTAACATGTTATAAACATGGAGAGAAGGCAGTGATACATTCTGGTTGAAATATTAATGAAGATTCAGGAATTGTAATTTTAGCTGAGCATTAACATACCAGAAGAAGCATTTTCATAAATGGTGCAACAGACTGTCTTGGTGGCTCACTCTGGTCCCCTGCCATCCTTTTACTGCTTTGCACGATGCTACCAAGTCCTACTTCTGTGAGGTATGTCAGCCAACCGTTTGCAAGGCCAGCCTTCTCTGAAAGCATTCTCTGAGTTACTGAAGTCATCCTGCCTCCACTTGCCTCATTGCCAATGGTCAGTCATTGATTGGATCGGAGTACAAAAGTCCCATCTCTCGTCTAAAGGGAAGACAGTGTCTGCGGTGCAATTTACCTTCCCCGCTGGATCATGCTGACACCAGACTGTTCCTGACACCACATCATGCCAGAGCTCACCCTTCTTCTCTGTACTGTTTCCCTCACTTGCATTATGCCATAAAAAGGTACAGGCCCCAGCTGCGTCTGCTGGAACCAGGAAACTGTGCGTGGGAATGATGCTGGGGTGCAAGAATGATGCAACCTAAAGCTGGATAAAGCAGAGTTTATCAATACAGAGGCACTCCTGGGAGACAGAATTGCATGCCCTGGAAAGAACCCCAGTGGACTGCTGGGAAGGCTCACAGAAGCTTGGAAAAGTGTTAGTTCCCATTAAAAGAATAGCAATTCTAGAACTGCACTGGCAGAGGATAGATAGAAAGAGATCAAAGGCTCAGAGGGGTGGGCTTGCTACAATGGGTCTTTTATATATCTCCCCCAAACTCACAACTGACTGCATTTCTTGGAAAGCCTGGAGGACTTTCTTTTACTTGGTGGGCTTCATTACTGGTGTGGTAGCTGAGAGAGAAAGTGTGGTAGCAGGTCTTGAGGGCAGCAAAGGTAGATATCTCCAGGGTGCATTTCAAAGAGAGACCTGGAGAGTGTGGCCAGATGGATGAAGTCCAAGATATAGTATATATCAGCTTTCATTAAAAAATAAAAGCATATGGGAAATGAACGGGGAAAACCAGGAAGGAATTTAAATCCTTTCAAGAAAATTATTGAGAGTAGAAAAATGATTCTGAATTATTCAGCAATGCCCTCTCCTTAGAGAAAGGCAGCAACAATGGACGTTAATTCAATCCAGAGAGCTTTGTGTCAGGGCCAGGTCGGGACCCACATTGCACAGTCCTGTTCCCTGTTCAGGCCAGTGATCTCAGAGTGGGAGATTAGGGACCTGCCTGTCAACATGAGACTCTGGAAGCGGCACAGAGCAGAACCTCTACGTGACAGTGAAAGCTCTTACCCACCAGGAAGGAAAACCTTGTGGACGGTACAGAGTGTTCCCTAACAAGAGCAGTTACAGCCAGAATGGTTATAGCCTCAAGGACCAGCGCTTCTACAATCCTGTCACAGAAGGAGGATTTGGAGTCGTTGACACATGGTGTGTTGGGAGGGAACATAATGTTGGCCCCAGACAAAGGTGCTCTGTAGCCAATGAAAAATACATCTGTCACCTTTGCTTATGCCCAGAATGTGGTTACTGTTGCTTTTTTCAGAATGTATTTTAGACTTTCATTTTAGGCAAGATATCACATACACATCGCCCATCAACTCTCTTACAGCATTTGCTGAGACATATGGGAAGAGGAGTGAGGAGCAGAATATCACTGGGAAAAGTGAAAAAAGAGCAGAGAGCCGAGATGAGTTCTCATCAGTTAACCAGGGTTCACCCAGAATGGGGTCCTAGGATCAAGAATGTTTGCAAAATATAAGAAATGTTTGGTTGTTCTTATACAACTACTAAAGTAAACTATGCCCAACTGCTGCCATACGGCTGTGTTTGAAGATAATATAAATCAGTACAACATACTCAAAATAAAGTGCTCAACATTTTGCACATGTTAACAGCTTCACTCCAAGCACAGTGTGATTTGTATGCCTTTAACTATCATTAAACCTTTCATATTAATAATTGCTATTTGAAATCCATTGGGCCTATTATCCTTAAAAACCAAAAAGGGGACTGAAAAATGAAAGCTGATTTGATTTAACTTGTTTCATTCCTGGGTTTTCCTATGAGAGTAAAACACCAGAATCCTTGGTGGTCATGTGCTGCCCACCTAGCCTGTCTCTGAGATATAGCGTTGTCATCTGAAAGGACTAATAAGCTTTACTAATCAGCTGTCCTCTATTATGGCCTTCACCTTCTCTCATTCATCAATGCCAGCATGATGATGCCACAGGTGGCCAGAGCAGGAGTCCCTGAAGGTGGACTACATCCTAATGTTTGTGAGTGATTCACACATTTTCCCTAAGAAAATATTCTTTTTCTTTTTCCCCTAAGAAAATTCTGATTTTTTTTTTCCCCAGACTTAATTTACATAACTATCCTTTTGCATCCAGGCCAATGCTTTTCTCATTGAATGTCCTTTGGCTTAACTGATTAGCCACAGACTTCTCCAATAAAAAGATGGCATTAATGTCAATATATTTTCAAATCTCTATCAGCATCTTTTAGAATGTATTTCCTTTAATGCCTTCTTTTCAGAGCTCATGACTTAGTCCAGATTAGCTCAAAATGAAGACATTTATTTCTATTCCCCATTAAAGGAAGACTGGATATCCAGGAGTGGGGGAGGGGAGAACCAGTTCAAAACAACTAAAAATGCTAGGAAAAATAACAAATACTCTTGTAATGCAAAGCTTTGCCTATGAAAAAATGAAGAAAATTCAGAGGCCCAAGCCTACACTAAAAAGCACAAATTTAGAAATCTGAGCATTACACTAGAGCTGGCAATTTCTCTGCAGACTTGGGCCTGTCAGTCCCTGGAAGTCTTTGGCTTAATGAACCATAACAATGTTAGAAGACAAATCCAAGACCTATCATCATGTGGAAGGTTGGACCAAAGACCTAGATAAACATGGTGTCTTCAAAGTCAACACCCTCAATGGATAAAATTAAAAATCAAGTGAACATAAACACCAGAAGGAGCAGGCAAGAAAATGTATACATCTCAGCCTTGGACACTAAATAGGGGATGGGGGAAAAGAACCGCCTCCTCAGAATTCATAACCACAAGCTCACACTCATGGAATTCACATTTCTAGTGAGGCCCCAATATTTCTAGTGAGGCTGCAAGCTGAAAATCCAATTTAAGGTGCTCCAGATTGGTAGTTCCTCTAGGCATTAGGCAGAACCAAAGGTTAATCCTCTATGAAGAGAAGCATTTTTACTTTAGGTCACTTAAAATTCTTAAGATTAAACTCAGACAAATGGGAGTTAACCAGGATCCCAGTGTTGGGGGGATTAAATGTCAGTCTGTGGGGAGCCAGTGACCTGGGCCTTGGGTCTGTGCATATTGGACAGAAACTCAAGACTCCCACAGAGAGGTTACACTTTCAGTGAAAATATACACTAGAGGAAAATCTGCCTACTTCAGGCAAAACCTCAAAGAGAATTTAAAATATAACCTCTTTTTGTCTACCATGGTTCCGAGTGGGGGAAAATGTAATAATAATTATCTCTTCTTGGAATTTCTAACCATAGACTGGCGCACATTTAGGAATTCAAATATAAGTAATTGACCAGATCCTAAAAGACCTATGCCAATAAATTCAGTTCAAGTGATCTATTGCAGATTGGTTTCTCCAGAAACAGGACTGAGGTTCAGAGATTAAGGTATAGTTATTTATTAGAATCAAGGCCTGTGAAGGGAAGAAGAGGGAGCAGGATTGAGCAGAAGGAAAAGATGAATCGTGAGTGATGCACGACTGAAACACCCCAGCCAAAAAAAAGCAAGAGATATGGAAGGAGTGTTTCTTGTCAAGGTGTATGAGTTGGGCCATCATAGCCAGACCATTGTACCTGCTACCTGATCTAAGATGCAGTGACTCTTTGCAGCTGAGGCAGACCCCAAGTGCTAAGAGCTGGAGGTTATCTGTTTAGCACATTCCCCATAGTGGGGCAGCAAATTCTTTCTGGAAGGCAGATCTG